TATTGGTTATATGTGGAATCTAAAAAAAGACACAAATGAACTTATTTACAGAACAAAAACAGACTCACAGACTAGAGAACACACTTAAAATTACCAGGGGGTAAAGGAGGTGGGAAGGGATAAACTGAAAGTTCAAAATTTGCAGATCCTAACTACTATATATAAAACAGATAAGCAACAAGTTTCTACTGTATAGCACAGGGAACTATATTCAATATCTTGTAGTAATCTATAATAAAAAAGAATATGAAATGGAATATATGTATGTATATGCATGACTGAAACATTATGCTGCACAACAGAAATTGACACAACATTGTAAACTGACTATAAATCAATTAAAAAAAAAAAGGAAAATAAAAAAAGTTGTGAATACCAGGAGGGAAAGTGGGAAGTGGAGGGATAAATTGAGAATTCGGCATTTGCAGATACTAACTACTGTATATAAAATAGATAAACAGCAAGTTCCTACTATATAACACAGGGAATTATATGCAATACCTTGTAATAGCCTATAATGAAAAAGAGTATGAAAAGAAATATAATATATATTTTGTGTGTGTGTGTGTGTGTGTGTAACTGAATCACTATGCTGTACACTAGAAATTAACACAATGTTGTAAACCGATTAAACTTCAAAAAAATGTTTTAATTTAATTTTTTTAAAGTTACAAGGGGGAGCCCAGAACAGTGCCTCCATATGAACCTCACTCTGGTTAGCATGGAAAGGCCACAGGCTTTTGACAAATGAAATATGTTTATGGTAGAAAGAACCTATATTTCTCCACCTACTTCTCACCCATCAGCACTAAGATCTCCAGATGTCAGAAGTAAGTGCTTGGTGTCGAATGTCTCTGCCAGAAACCTGGATGAGCTTGCTAGGACTGGTTGGAGACACATAATAGTGGCAAATTATACCAGAGAGAAACTCATTTTGCACTTTGTATTTAATTCTCAAATCTCACTTTGAAAAAAATGGGTTCTCTTGTCCCATAGTCCTTACATTTGGGATATCTGTCCTTATTCAAATCTTAGCTTTAGTTTGTTTTTACAAACTTAAATTGTGTGTTTGACCTCAGTTTTTAAATGGAATTCCTAAAATGACTAGATGGCTATGACCTCCTAGCAAGTTACAGGTTCAGCGGATGCATCATCCACTAACTCGTCAAAAAAA